AATTATCATTCAGTGACTTCTCGCGCAATTCACTTTAGATCACGCAATTTTGATGTTCCCACATGTCTCAATAAAATTGCACTTCGACGATTATTTTTAACGAGGAAAATGGGAATCCCCTACTTTGCGGGATTGTATGAAAATTTCATCATCAACCCTGTGTCAAACCAGGTCACTCATAATTCACTGAGTTGCCCAGTGAGACAATGTGGCCCCCAGGGATTCTCCGAAATAGGCAATGCTAGTTGACCGATGAGTATGAAAAAAAAACTTGCGAATAAAAAAACACCAACTTCATATCAGAATAGCCTGTAATGCCCATAAACATGTTTACTTTCAGAGTTTTCCTCTCGGAATATGGGCAATAACAGCGTCTGGATATTGTCGTTCGATTTCATCATTCGCCAGAACTCGGGAAAACTCGCATCCTCTCGGCGATTTAATTTGCAATTTACCTCGTATGTAGCTCAATGATATTGCTTACATTCACGAATCAATTTCCCAGAATTCCAGGATTCCAGAATCCCACATTAACTAGGGAATTTCCATATTGAAATGTTTCGGTACAAGTTCTAAAAACAATTGGAATCAAATTATGAGAAATATAAACGAATTTAAATAGAGTGGATTTAATTTAAACTTTTCTTTATTCCCAAAAATATTCGTCACCAAAAAAAGAACTCTCTGTTTAGTCTTCCAATGAAAATTATTATTTATGATAATAATATCAGGTGATTTTCTATTAATCATCTCTACGAATTGAACTCGATGATTCACCAACTCGTCTTTTAATTAAATTGTTGGAGGGAGTAATCTCACGTCTCGATTTTTATTGGAGTACTTTCCCTTCCTGTTGCAGGACAATTGAAACAGAGTATTGCACACTATCAACGGGAGCGGAGTATCAGATGTTTCGTGGGCTTGTAATATCTATTATCTCAATTGACTTTCAATAACCGTCACGCGTGACTCCGATATCTGAATGTCACTGGTGGCGAGGGAATGACAATGGCGAATATTAACCCGATTTGGAATGTGAATTACCGGTTGTACCTTCGATACAGTGAATACATCGTGCAGCGATTGGTATCGGTAATGGCTGGCCGATGATTTTATTCCAGGCTGTGTACTTTGTTGGTTGTAATGACGGATATGGCGGAAAATTCCAGCAATTGGGCCATCTGGTGAAGCGCCTCGGTGCATTACTTTGGTAACGCCTTGACGGATTCTACCTGGCGGCTGAAATATATTAACCGAGGAAAATCGATGCCATTATTATTGTCCACCATTTTCTCAAGACCATGATTCACTGGTATTTACCAGCGCCCAGAGACACGACTGATCGCATTATTGATTCTCAACAATTTGTCTGGATATTTTTGCCATCGATGGTTCAATGGTTTTTCCATCGTTTCTCCTAGTCTGAAGGGGAATAAAGAACCGAGATTTGCCGATTTTTTCACAAGGATGAATAAATATTGCGAGATCGGGCAGTTATTTTACTATACTCGGAGAAAATAAATATTCAGGCATGAGCTTTCGTGTGAGGGATTAAGGCTTTGGAGGAACTCGCTTTCGTGGTATCGTGAAAGTTCTTTCTTGCGGTGGGATAAAAATTTAACGGTGCGATTGGCTGCGGTTCAAAGGCGACGATTCTTTTATGTCTTGACTCAATGCGATATTCTGGTGGGCTTCATGTTTGATTCAGACGGCGACATTTCACCGCAAAAGAGAAACTCACTGGCTATACAAATGAAATAGAATTTCAGGGAGTGGAGACGGTGAAAAACCTGGGATTTGATGGTTTACTTTTTGCTGTGATATTTTCTTTTAGTTTTTTTTTTTTTTAACTTCATTTTTTCGTATTGCTATCTGAAAACTCAGGGGAAAGTAATGAGAAAATTCAACTGCGAGCGAGAAATAGGGAAAAACAGAGAAAAACGTGAAAAGTCCCCCGGTAAAAAAAAATTGTAATCGAAATATTTTTTTCAATTTTTCAAAAAATTTCTGGAAACCTTTTCAGAATTTTTCAAAAATTTAAATAGGAAATTTTTTTTCTAATAATTTACAAGGCGTATTTTTTGAGAATATTGGAAACTTAAAAGAGTAAAAAAACAAGAGTATAATTAAAAAAAATTATATTCGCGAAAATTTCTAGAAAATTATGAAAAAAAATTTTCGAAAAATTTCCCAAAAATACAATTGTTTCGTTTCCCGATTTCTTTTTGTTGCAAAAAAAAAATTTCTGAAAAGTTTTCCAGAAATTTTTTGAAAATTTGGAAAAAATATTCCGATTAAAATTTTTTTTTACCCGGGTCGGTGGACATGAAAAAATTGTCAACTCCCTGGGCAATGGTTTCTCATTAAAAACTGATTTCAATTTACACTGGGGTAATCACGTGTCCAGGTAACACTGGAGATGCAAGTGGAGCATTGATGAAGTCTTGGCCTCGCATTTCGCCAACCGATGGGCAATACGATGCATCCATCGTCGGGCAACAAATCCTCCGGGTAGATAATAAAGTTGAATACGATAATTGTGGACTTGAAGATGAGACTAAAGCCCTCAGGCACCTATTGCAATAACCTCCGTTAAAGCGAAATGATGATGAAAGACGAATTGAAAAAATCGACGGATCAATTAAGCGCGAGTTTACGGCATTGACTGATTTATCGCGGTTGAAAATGTCAAGCATAGAATTGTCGTGTAACAAGTTACTAAACTTTTTATCCGAGTTATTATGCACAAAGGAGATCTGCACTGTCGAGTTACAGTTAAATGCCCATAAGTAATTGATGCGTGACGAGCGTCAGCCGTAGCGCAAAAAATTCACGCATTAACTTTGATGTATTCATGAGTGGGTGAATTTTTTAATTTAACTCGAGTGTTTGAGGGAGAGTACTCTCAGTTTTTTTTCGAAAGTCGGAAAAAGTTCAAGTTCTCTCTCTCTGAAATTAACGATTTGCGGTATTTTTTCTTTTTGTTAACGAAATGACCTGGAACGGGCGCTCGACTCTCGATCGTTGGGAAAAACCGTCGATCTCTCGCCCAAGTAACTCCCGAGGTACCGCATATGCCGTCTGTATCAGTATCTACATCTTGGAAATGTAATACATAGTTTTGTGATCGATCATTCCACCGAATAAGGCTAGTCGGAATCGTTTGGATAGATCGTTAAGTGCGAGATCGCGGGGTTTCCCCGGCCCTTTCGTTTTCAAATCAATTGACCCCGATGTCGAGGTCAATTGGCCCGATTTCAAGCTGTGGAAAAATTGATTGGGCATTATCTCACCGTTCGATATCCACTGTCACGTTAAAATCACTAGGTGCCGATTTCCGCGATTTAATTCTACCCGTGCACGATTTTATTGTCTCTGAAAAATTGAGTTTGTCGCAAGGACAGAAATATTTAATAAAAATCACGGAAATCGAGTTCGATTGCCGATCACGGAAATCATTAAAATTCTTTGAATCGCGGTATTATAATTTTTCATGAAAAATTCAAACAAAAATCACGGAATGGTCCTAAAAAATTCCGAGGAGACACGTAATTTTTATTGAATATTACTCTTCGTACGGTTATAAGTGTCTCGATAATTTAAATCTTACGCTTGTTGTGTCAGTAACGAGGGTAGTGCCACCACAATGTATACAGTAGCCTCGGCCAGAATAAAAAGCCTCTCACCCGACTCTTTTTCCCCCATTCCCTTTTTGTAATTCAAAGAACAGGAGCGCCAGGGAAGTCCGTGTATAAACCCACGGATCGTATAAAGTTTCATTATGCAAAGGATAAATTTTTATAGAATCAATGGTACACGCGTGCATCGACGTGCGATTGTTTGCGGATCAACTCGAGCAAAAAAAAATAAATACATTTTTTTTGGATTATTCCCTTTTTGGGAGTAATCAACTATTACGTTATGCCGGATAAAAACAGGAGTTATTTCATTGTTTGTCAGACACCGCTGGAGATCGCATTCGTCAGGGGAAGTTTAATCACGATTCGGTCACTGTACTCTGTACTCTGTCGGGTATAATTTATAGAGAAGTTTGTTTTAACAGCTTGTTCTACCGTAGCGCGGAGAAAATTATTTCAGAAAAATTACCATGATAATGGCGTACAAATTACGCGCAGAAATGGTAAATGGATGGATCATACGCGGGAAACAATTTGTTTTCGTTTTATCGTTAAATTGCGCAGTGCTTTTAACAGAATTCTTGTTTTCTTTATTACCGCAGAAAAAGTGAGTTGAGAACACTAAATATTTCAATTTTTTAAATGAAAAATTGGGATATTAGTGTTGCGAAAACATTTTTTTTAGTAGAATTCGTTTTTTGGAGTTTAGGAATTTTTTTCTTCGCGCTCTTGTCGAAATTGCAGGGTGGGGCAATAATGACAGTAATGGTTTGTTTAATGTTCGGAATTGATTATTACATTGTACCAATAACTCTGTTTTTAGGTGTGGAAAATTATGCAAACCAATTGATAACACTCGGTGGGGAATATTCTATTTATGAAAATCCAAGGCCTTTAGAGCTTCGACTCACCTGGAACAGAAAAGAATAATTATGAATTTCTAGGAACATTACGGAATATTCATTATGGTTATAATTAGGCAACGGGGAGTGTTTATTTTATTTTAAGACAAGGTTATCAAAATATTTGAGTGACCCAGAATCAAACGACAATCAATAATAAATTGAGTGACACATTCATTTAAAAATAAAATCGATCTTACGAAAACTTTTGAATATTCATATTCTTTGAATTATTTATTGAATTCCCTTTACTCCCAAGGGTAATCCCAAAAAATAGCAGGAGTAAATTTCGAAAATAAAAATCAATTTTTTATCATCATCAATGTCATTATCATTATAATTCATTAATGACCCTTGGAGAAACACTTGGTGCTCGAATATTGAAACTCCCGCTCGCAAGAATCGATACACGTCCCTCGACTCAGACCACATGACCTGTTTCGCAACCGAGTTTCCTAACCTCTCATAAAAAGCGAGGTGTTCTCCAACTTCGCAAAAATATTTCGCTATTTTTCCCACGGAAATCAAATTTTTTCCCTATCCTCCGCCCAAAAAAACCGCTATTATCCTTAAATTCTCGGTGAAACGTTCTCGTTTCCCCTCACATGTAAATTTTCCTGATTGCAATTTTCCAGAAAGTTCGCCAATTGTATTTTTTAAAATGTGTGTATAAAACACCCGTACAAATTTATATGTATGTATTACAAAAAAATGATATAAAATCATAATATCTGTTTTCAATATTCTAATGGCAAATATTATTAATAAAAAACACATTCAAAACATCCTAATAATTATAATGATCATAATCATCCGTTTCTCCCTTCCGTTGTCCTGCCGCGAAATTTTGATGTGTTATCAGCTGATAATATTTCCAATTCCACAATTTTCGGACTGTGTTATTTGTTATTATATTATTTAATTATCATGTTTTTCAGTGTAAAATCATTATCGCGTGTTATTTACAGCGGTACCCGAGTTAATTAATCGTTTATTAATAAAATAATAAAAAAATACTGATTGAATAAATCCGCAATCAATAAAAATATTGGGGTCTTCTCATAACTTACGACCTCGGCACTGAATTATTTAAATGAACCGACTCAATTGAAACATCACCTGTCACAATTGACGCGCAACGACAGATTTAATTATTCAATATTCAAAGGATTCAACTTGTTCCCCATTCCCCAGTGCACATGCTAACCTTGACATTTCATGGTGACGTACATTTATTTTAGAAAGGTACTCGAAGAGCTAACGGTACACCAGGAGCTCAGATACCAAAGAATTGGCGAATTAATTTCCTTCGCACCCTTTCTCCTGGGGAAAATCGGTTCCCCTTGACTTCATCGGATCCCGATGATTTCATTAGAACTCGAAGAGGTGCTATATAAGATTTATTTAAATTGGTCGCCAGTGAAGTATTAGGTGTTTCCACTGGTGTCCGAATGATCAGCGCTTTTAGAGCAATTGAGAAAACCGCTCACCGTGGAATTCCAACGAGGAATTTATCATCCGGTGGGAAACCGACGGCTTCTGAGGTCAGTTTATCCCCAAATTCAATTGCTCTTCCATCGTTTTCTGGCATTCCTTTATTCCCAACGAGTTCTCACATTACGAAGAATAAATGGGAGTAAATCCTCTGCTTCCGCCTAATCGCTTCGATTTTTATCATTCGCAAATCGATTCTTGAAAATATTCAATCATTTTCTTCACTGATACCAATTATAATTTCCATCACTCCCTAATGAATAGATTAAAAAAAAAATAATAATCCAGGGGTAGAAAAACTTTTTAAATAGCCGAATAATTCTGCGATTAAATCAAATCTTTCGTCGATTTGAGGATAAAATAGAAAATGGAGAGCATTACTGAAGTATATTTCAATGTATTCATTATCGAAATGATAAGAGCAATTGGAGTGTTCTCAAACTCGTGAGAATGAACGAGACGAGGAAGTGGATGTACTCGGAATACTCTGGTCTCTAAAACCAATCCCCATGTTGATATCTAGACATATCGTATGCAACTCCCTGAAGAATTCCCAGGGACAAGCGCTTTTACTGACTGTTATTTACGGTAAATAGGTCTTAACGAGCTACCTGATGCAGAGTAAAGAGCCACCGTGGACCTCGTACTTCGTGAGGTACAGAGATGTCGTCAACGATCAACATGGCATGTCACACTTCAATTGGCCAGTGGAAAATAGCAACTATCACGTACTTCGAACTGGATGTTTTCCCTACATCAAATATCACTGCACAAAGCGTCCGAAGGAGGACCTCAGTGTTGATGACAAATTCTACAAGGCGATCAAGATAATTAACCTTGGTATTAGCATAATCCATTGGTTGAAATTAAAACAGGATCGAACGATTCACATAGCTCCTGCGGGTGGCATTCCAATACGTCAAGTCCACTCTGTCACACATAATTTATATTAATAAAAATTATTGAAATTATAAGTCGAGGGATTTAATGACCAGTGCAAGACCGCCGGGGAAATATATTTTATTCATCATGATTTTTATTTCAATTAAATTGTCTCATCAATTTTGCCCTTTTGTACTGGTGATGAGGATTATCTTTAATGGCTCGGCCTTTTTTTTTAATTTTTCATTTATTTTAGTTTTCATTTGCCCCACAGGTATTCCACTTCTACTCTACGGCCTCGCTGCTACTCAATTGATAAGACACGAGGAGATCGTTAAAACAACCAGGGGCGAGGTTAAAATTTACTTTCTGCTTCCTGAAGATAAAGGGTCTCTCCACTGAGAATCAAGACTGAAGATTGTTTGAGTTGGGATGAGCACAGCTTAATTTTTCAGATTACGATCTGCTATTCATTCGTAATGAGAGTTTATTATCAGTTAAAATTCTATCTCTAATAATAATTGATCCGTTAATTGTAAAAATAAAAGTCTGTGCGCAACACCGAAAATTGTCTCTCGTACCTTTTTCATTTGTATTTAATAATTTATGATTTTTTAGACGTTTGATGTTTTTATTCTGTTAGGGGATATTCTCTGATCAGTGGTTTTCAAGATTTTGATGAGGAAATTGAAATTCTTCACGTGCAATTCCTGTTTAGAACTTTGAAGGATGGAAAGGGAGTTCTGCTGTCTCGTACAAAGGACACGACTTTCTAGAGGCGCGGTTGTTATGAAGAGTACCTTGGGGGCTTCATTTAGAGTTTCTGAAAGGTCACTGATATTTATTACTCATCTCCTTAACTTATTGATCGCGTGCCAATTGATTCCTGATTTAATTATCGGAATTAAACGTTTGATGTCTCAGTTGTTTCTTTTCCGTGGGATTCGAGGAGAGCTGATTTCAAGGATATTGAGAGCGAGAAATCGGCCTGGGGGTGTCGACATATTAACTGACAAAAAATAATAATCCCAAAGCGAAATGAGATCAACGAATAATTTCTCATTCTCGTTGAACAAAAAAAAAGACAATGCATCAATTGTAGTTCCACGTGATAGAAAAAATACACTATACGCTGCACTAGAATTTTCAATAAAAATTATTCATTTTTTGATGGAAAAATAAATTGCTTGGGCCCCCGACATTTTTTTGGGTAAGACCCACGGCTGAAGTGACCAGTGATGACGTAGCCACACCATAAGGATTTCTTTTTTGGAAACATCTGCATACAATGGAAAATATTATGAATATTCTCGAAGAGATTCATTCAAGTCACGACACGAAATTCTTCATCCATCTAGAACTTTACCTCCGCTCCCTGAGGTTATGCTTTTTTCAGGATTATTACGCAATTTCGTTGTAGAGCAGACTAAAAGAAGAAAATGAAGAAGAAAATAATACGGTGAATTCCGCAGAGTTCTCGATTTTTTAAAAATTCATCGGCAGGAACGTTCTCCTCAGGATTCCTTTCTGGGGATTCCTTGCAGTCCAGAAAAATTGTAGAGCAATTGTGTTATGAAAATTCTGCTAAGACAAAGTATTGATGTGAAATTTTCAGAAGAGAGCTCGAGGGTAACTCAATGTTCTCGGTCACCCGGAGTGCTATCACAAGGTTCAATATTATATTCCAGAATATCTCGTACCCATCGAGTTGCCCGTCAAAATAATGTGATAGCCGTTAAACAAAGTGCGCCAACTCTTGAATAGACTCATACTCTATTCGCATTGCCATCGTAAATTTAATAGAAAGTGACTGTGGCTTACTGACAACATTCCCCCACCACCCGGCAATCCAATTATGTTAAATTTATGTAAATTCGACAAATGGGAGAAAAAAAAATTCCCACAGTCTAGGTTTACCATTAAATTGCGCAATTCCGTTGTGCAATGATTGGTATTTTTATAAGGAAATAATTACTGTCAAGTTCTCGAATTTGCATGTTGCCCCTGGTAATGCTCTCACTCATGTCCAGTAATTTTTTTATTAATCATTGCTCGTTAACTTCCGGTGTACGCGATTCCAATGAGAGATAACAATTAACACCGGCTGGTGAGCAGTACTTTCTCCATTTTTTGAATATTCAAAACTTTCCCCAATACATGTCTCACTGTCATTCATTATCTCTTAACTTTTAATGAAGAAACCTGTCAAGTGCATTTGGAATAAATTGCGCGTGTTGGGAAAGGAAATTCATGGGTGTACATTTTAATCAGTGAATAGATAGATAATATTGATAATTGATAACTCAGTCAATAACGATCGATTGGATGTGGAAATATTGAATTTTTTAGTGGCTGACAAGTAGTTCTATTTATTATATATTTTTTAAAAATATTCACTCCGGGAGTCGCTAAGTATTTTCATTAATCGTTAGTGGTCGCCCAGATGCGCCAGATTGTCCACTCGGGCTCCCGCCTTTTCACGACAAAATGGCCACACATTAATTTCTCATTTGCGACAGTGAAGATATCCGGCGCCAGGCTGAGTAATAACGTTAAAGACCCGATCGATATTTTTACAATATTTCAATCCCTCAAGCATAGCACCGAAGTAATTAACAGTAGATTTATTACGGAAAATTTTTATGTAATTTTCAGTGGAATATTGATGAGAGACCGAAACGCCGTCCTAATTAAATCTGTCAATTTCCCGAGGCGTCTGGCATTTGTCATTAAATTGAAAATTCCAACTTTACGCGCAACACGGTAAATTCATGATGTAAAATCAATCGGGGGAATTGCTACGGAATCCCAAGCCAATTTGTTCACGCGTTGATATTCCTGATTGGCTGTTGACATTGATATAAATCATGATTACTAATTATGAAAATTAAAATGTACCCGGAGTTCGCTTCGAGATGCCATTTGAGGGGGGAAACATTTATTTTGTGACTGAAAAATCGCAATAAATAATATTCGAGAGCACGTCAACTATCGAAGAGCTCATCAAAGTCCACCCACAGAGTTCAATACCTCCCCTGCTCGTTACGCTCAATTAATTTCCGATGTGTAACGAACCTGTGCGTTTACATGTTCGATTAACCATAACCAATTCCATTGATAACAGAGAATCGTCCATTACACTTGATTAAGAAGAATCACGGGATGTATTTTGCGGAATTATCGTTTCGCAATAATATCTAATGCCCACTAATTTCCAGTTGAATTATACAATTCTAACGAAAGGCAATTTGACCGGGGAATTCAACAGGTGACTCTGGCTCTGTTATGTCTTATCTCCCCGGGATCACTGGAGGGAGATAATTGTAACGAGACACAAGAGACAACACGTAAATCTCAAAGTAACACTGACAAATAAATGTCGATGTACACCTGAAGTTTACTGGCAACTGGTGCTCGTATCGAAGAAGATGGACTGGGACTTCTTAGGGCGGACATTTCAACGCCATCACTCCGGTTCAATGTGAATTATGTCTAATTAGTGGTTACACGCTCTCTGCCACCGTGATAAATTCATCGGTGCCGGCAAACACACGAGAAAATATCCGGAAATCGCGCCTCGTTATCAGACTAATTAGATATTCATTTCGAGAGGCCAGAGAGTTTATCCAACGAACAATGCCCCTAAACTGCCAATTAATTAGTGACGGTAATTAAAGGGAATTTTGAGGGGAAAATTGAAGGTGAAAATTGTCAATGAATTTATGAAGAATTTGTTGAAAAATAATCATGGGGTTTTGAGAATGTTAGAAAGAAACGGAAATATATGACGCAATTACTCAAGCGACGGTTGCGACAGTTTGTGGATAGAGTGAATTGGAAAATTGAAAAGTATTAATTAAGAGGAGAAATATTGAAATCTATGTATTTATCCCCTCACAGTTCGCGTCGTTCATTTTTTATTTTCATGTACCTCTATCTATCCAACCGTTCAGCGGAATTTCACACGAGAAGACTCGGTATTTCCGTAAGGATAGGGCCGGTTCTTTCAGCGGGAAGATAACGAGACCATTAGAGAGTGGACAGTGGGATGCACCCAACAACGAAACATAAAAACCCTATTTACCAAGTCCGAAATAAAAGAAAAACCGACAACTCAACACCGGAATACACCCAACGAAAAAAAAAAATCAGCGGGAAAAAATTGTGAGATAAAAATAGCGGGAGAGAGTTATTGAATATGAAAATATCTATTCATTCGTATCGCATTGAAGTTAAAATAGCAAATCAAATAAAAAGCTGAAAATAGAATATTTGATAAATGCACGTGGTCACCGACGTCAGCCCCCAAAACGATTTAATTAAACGTGAGGCAAATTATTGCTCGCGTAACAATTTTGAAACGTCGGAATCACCTGGCAACAAAGGTGTAATTACCGAGTCGTCTTGTTTTCAATTATGAAAGTGAATGGAATTCCAGTTTCCCCTGATTAACAAAGTCACTTCAATTGCATCTCCGTCCTGGTGTAGAATACAACATTGAATTTGTTGTTACCGAGACTGTGTGCGGTATTATATTTTTTTTTATATTCATAAATATTAAACGAATTTCCGTGCGGGAACCTTCTCCACGAGTGGTGCCCTAATTTTAAATGAACGTATACCTATGTCGAAATAACCAGATGGTATATAACTCGAGGACATAATCGATTCGATCAACTCTCACGCGTGCTCCATTTTCGTTCACAATATCCTTGAAAACTTGAATCATGACGCACATCCTCTCTCTTCATGCTCTCGTCCCACCGATTAACTCGACGAGAATTGTTCTGGCAATTCCCTTACATGTGGTTCACCTCCAAGAAATTATTGCCGATCTATCTTCTCATTTTGGTAATTTTTTCACAAATTCTCCCAGTCATGCGTTTATTTCTCTGAATCCGGTTGAATTTTCGGGAATCTGTGCAAAAATTAACTGAATAATAATAATATTAAAAAATATGAAAATTAATATAAAATATAAAATATAAAATATAAAATGAAATATGAAAAATTTTTCTAAAAAATGTTTGAAAAAAACAGAAATGAGAGAATACCGGCGATAATTTCTAGAGTATGACTTTCGTCTTTAATACCATAAACGAATAATGCATCGGACAATGCGAATCGATACAAATGAATTGGCAATCGGAAAATTGTTGATGGTATTCACGAGCACGAGCCACGGTGCGGTTGCTTTGAGATAGAAATTGATCGGTGTTTATTATCGTCTGCCTCATCTGTCTTGGTTCATTCCACACAGCGGAAATGAATCGATTCATCTCATCGTACATAGTCGGGGTAATCTCCTTGCATAACTCAATAAAAAAAGAAAAAACACCGCATGACACGTAGAAAACGACTCCACGTCATTTAATCTTGCATCCTGTTAGTCCGAATAAAAAATTATAAGCTTCTGGTAATTCGATTTTATCGCGTGTGATGATAAAAAGAAAATTCAAAGAGGATATGTCACGTAAAATCTGAGATAGCTGAAAATTTATATTGGGTAATGAGAGATGAGGA